GACAAAATAATATAACCCCAATTATATTTGAGTCCTATAAGAAAATTTTATTTGAAACAAACAAAACACATTTTTTTTCCGGTCGCTACACTTGCATTGCTGTCAAGGGTCAATTATATGTGAAAATTATTTGAAATTTAAAGTGTCCAACTGGGTAATGTCACGTGACAAAGCATAAACTAAAGTATACACCATAATGTACATGTAGTATGATTTTTACCGATTGAACATTGCTATTTGTACACTGATTTTTGACACGTTATTTGACACTTGCACTATTGTCAACTGTCAATTAGATGGGAAAACTGTTCGAAATTTAAACTGTCCAACAAGGTAATATCACATGGTAAAGTGTAAACTAAAGTGTACACCATAGTGTACATGTGACAAAGTCCTCACCGATTGAACTTTGCTATTTGTACACTGATTTTCGACATTTTTTTAGCACTTGGATTGTTGTCAAGTGTCAATTGGATGTGAAAACCATTTGAAATTTAAACTGTCCAACTAGGTAATGTCACGTGACAAAGTGTAAACTAATCTGTACACCATAGTGTACCTGTAGCAAGGTTCTTACCGATTGAATGTAAACTAAAGTGTACACCATAGGGTACATGTAGCAAGGTTCTTACCGATTGAACTTTGCTATTTGTACACTTAATTTTGACACGTTGTTTAACACTTGCATTGTTGTTAAGTGACAATTTGATGGAAAAACTGTTTGAAATTTAAACTGTCCAGCAGGGTAATGTCACGTGGTAAAGTGTAAACAAAAGTGTACATGTAGCAAGGTTCATACCAATTAAACTTTGCTATTTGTACACTGATTTTCTACACGTTGTTTGACGCTTACATTGTTGTCAAGTGTCAATTAGATGGGAAAACTGTTTGATATTTATACTGTCCAGCCGGGTATGTCTCGTGGCAAAGTGTAAACTAAAGTGTGTATACCATAGTGTACAAGTAGAAATGTTCTTACCAAATGAACTTTGCTATTTGTACACTGATTTTTGACATGTTGTTTGATACTTGCATTGTTTTCAAGTGTCAATTTGAAGGTTGAATTATTTGAAATTTAAACTGTCCAATAGGGTAATGACATGTGACAAAGTGTAAACTAAAGTGTACACCATAGTGTACATGTCGCAATGTTTTTACCGATTGAACTTTGCTATTTGTACACTAATTTTTGACCTATTGTTCAACACTTGCATTGTTGTCAAGTGTCAATTGGTTGGGAAACTGTTTGAAATTTAAACTGTCCAACAAGGTAATGTCACGTGGCAAAACGTAAACTAAAGTGTACAT